CAAATTTGGTGAGTATTCGAATTATTCGTAGATTCTCAGAGCAAATCAGATCCTTATTCAGATAAGACGGCGTCATTTTACGATAATCCAAATAAAACAATTTTTTCAATAGAATTCTAATAAAATGTCAAAAGTTAGTAAATATTCGAATATGAATAACCTTGTTTAGAATCTATGAAAATATTATAATAATTTAATTATGTTGAGACACTATAAATAAATAGAGACACTATAAATAAAACATTTTGACATTTTCATCATATGCTAAGTTAATAAGAGCTGTTTGACATTTCGATCTCTGACATTGGCAATCAAGATTTCGACCCGAGTATTTCGAAACAAGTCTTAGAGATTAAAGGGGGTACAAATCTAAACAAACTACAAAATGTTATTTACTAATTATATTAACCAAAGTGCAAATTTAAAACCAGCCGGTGAGAAAATAAATATAAAATAACATAAATACATTTCATAATTTGCCGCTTATTTTTACTTAATTTATTTAACCATTTAGGACATTTTTAAAATTTGCACTTTTTGATTGTTTTTTATTTATATTTTTACCTAACATATGACTTTCACACTGTATGGAAATATTTGAATGCTACGGGTTATTGTTAAATACTGTAAAATATAGTTGGACTAAGGTTCGGATGGGTTTTACTAAATAAAATTAAAAATAATTACAAGGGTCGGTCACAACAATGTTACTAGAAAGTAAAATGGTAAATTATATAGATATTAATTAGTGAATTGGGATATAAATCGAAAGAGAACATCTCAATTTAATTATATATGTTCAACCATTTGTTAAATATTGTGGAAGGTATAAGGGATTAATTAAAATAAAAATTCTTAGAAAGTTGAGGAGTGATAATTGGGATGATTATGGGAAGGAAATGTTGAATGAAGGATGTTTACTGCTTATGGTGTTTGGGAAGAATAAGTGACGGTAAATGAAATGAATTACACACAAATAGGAAATAATAATAAATGGACAATTTTAAGATAGTTAAGAAGCTAGTTAATGGGAAAGTATAGGTGTAATGAATATAAATAAAAATGTGAAATAATTCTGTGTCAAGACTTACTAAAATAGAATAAAGAGTCTGGGACTAATAATAAAATAAATAGACGGTATTTCTTGAAAATTATTTAATGTTTATTTTACATGAATTTTTATTTATTTATTTTTCACTGAATTGACTTTAAAATTGCACTTTTTGTCAATTGCCCTTTAATAAAATTCGTCAATTAAATTATTGTAGTTTGTTTACATTTATTTTTACATTTATGTCTTGTGAGTTTCTTAAAATCGTTGATTAAATAAAGAAAATCGAAATTTCGAAACAGCTCTAACGCCCTTAAAATTTGATTAAAATGCCAAAATAATACACTATTTATTATAGGGTCTCATCATTAATTAAATTATTATAATAAATACACCGGATTTTAAAAACATTTATTCTAATTATTCCAAATTTTATTGGTTTTTTTGATTCGAATTCTATTTAAAAATTGTTTAGTTTTCTGAATTTTGTTTATGAATTTTAGTGTTTTAAAATTTGCACTTTTTGTCAAATATCGCGGTTAATATAATTAGTCAATTAAATTTTTTATTTGTTTAAATTTGCACTTTGTCTCTCATTTTAATAGTTGTTTTGAAATATTAGGTTCGAATTAGAAATTTCGAACCAGCTCTATCGCACTTAAATATTCAAAGTGCATCCCTATTTATTTACTGGGTAAACAAGTAAATATACTATTTAATTTTTGGCATAGTTATAGCTAGTTTTTCCTTCTATTTTTTCTATTAAATAAACCGGACCGTACATACTTGGCCATATTTTACGATATTTATCGACATCCGTATTGGTAGTCCCAATTATCTAATATTTTTATTTCAACGTTTTTTGCTACGGTACGGAAAAACTAAAATCGAATGAGCTATCATTCAAAAAATCGAATTGTTCACTAGTGCTTCCGCAAAGGTCGGCATCAGAGAAAGTCGGCTAACAAAAGTTGCTACTTATTTTATTTTAAAAATGACTAGAAAAGTTATTAAAAATTGTCATAAATTTTTTATCGGAAAATTATTCACGTTGAAGTGAAAATCAAAGACGATTGGCTAATTGTTGATTAAGAGGGATATTGAGAAATTTGACATGCACCCCCTGATATCCCTTTAAATTCCATTAATCTTTCTAAATTCACCAATAACCACCATAATAATATCTCCAAATCCTTCTTACAGGGTGACATAAAAGAAACTGCACACCTTATTTTTGGCATAACTTTATTCAAATGAAAGATATTTGGATCAGATAAAGCTTAAAAGATAGAGAATTAAATAAGGAACAAAAATTGCAAAAAATTTTTGAAGTACCTCACCCTTATTTTGATAAAGAGTAAAAGTCGCGAAAAAAAATATTAAGGAAAAGTTCGCAAGTCGAAAAATTTTTTTTCACAGAATAAATTTTTTGTGAACTGATCATGTCAAAATTACGAAAATGGCATATTTTGGTGGAAAAAGTCTCCTCTTTCTAATCCACTTGTTACTTATTCCCAAACCATTTTTTCTTTAATGAAATAGTTCGTTATTTGCAAAAGGGTCAAAATCCCGTGATTTTCGTGAATCCTGAGGGTTTTTGTGGATTTACCGGAAATCCTTCAAGATGTTTTACAGCCTTGGATCCGAAGCCACTTTTGGAGCCGGAACCGGAACCGGAACCAATTTGAGTTCCGGTTCCCGGAACCGGAACCGGAACCAAAAAAACACCGGAACTTTCCGGAACCGGAACCGGAACCGGAACTTCCGGTGAAACTCTAATATATATGCACCGAAATAGCCCAAAATATGCACCAAAATATGCCAAAATATGCATTAAATATGCAGCAAAAATAATGATAATGCCCTCTAAAAATCAATATTTTTAGTAAAAAATACTAATTGAAGTTTAAGAGCACTTATAAAAGATTTTATCAACTTAAATTTATCATTACGGATACTAGATGTAATGTCCTGTTCGGACGAGTTGAATATTGCATTTGTTTACATCAATTTTTGGAAGGTAATTGCCCTATAATATCAATATCCATATAACGTCGATATACCAGCTATTGATAATTTTAAAAATTTGGGGAAAAAATATGGCCATCCATTATAATGGATGCCCTTATCCCCAAAATTTAAATGTCAAAATTTCAAAATAAAAAAATTTAAGAAAGGTGTCTTCTTAGTTTTCCAAAATTTCCCAAAATTTTGCATACGGCGCTGAAAATCTAAAGGCGTATGCAGAAATTTAGAGAGATTATGAGAAATTAAGATTGGATTTAGGGGTTAACAGAATTATCGAGAGGATTTGGATGATTAAACGATGTAGTTTGTTTGTATTTTGGTAATATTACAAATCCACCTCAATTCGCCGATATATTTTCATGCCATAGATGGACCGTAAGTGTCAGTCCTCATGTACGGGTCCGCTAAGTCGGCTAACCAAAGTTGCTAGTCCTGTTATTTGAAAAGTTATTAAAAATATTAAAATTCTCTTAAATTTTTTTAAAGATAAAACAAAAAAAGCTTTAACTTTCTAAATTTCAGATGATAAAATTTAAATTTATAATTATCATATATTTAATTATATTAATGAAAATTCGATCCGACGGGAAACTTATTCATGTTGAAATGAAAATTAGAGATGATTGGGAAGGAAAAAGAGAATTTGTTTATTTAAAAAATGTTGAAATAAAGGATGTTTTTGTGTTGAAAGTAATTGAAAAGAATAATAATCAGCATGATAGCTATAAGAACAATATAGAAGGATATTTGCGTTCAGTTAAATTAAATCTAGATAAAAATACATTTGAAGTTGAAATAAGTGATAGATCAGAATATATTCCAGCAGATCAATTAAAAAAGAAAATTTTGATTGAAATTACTAATAATGAGTTAATTCAAAATTTTCTGCCTGGGCTTGGAAAAATGGTATTTTTTATTAATAGAATTTTAGTTCATAGTGTCAGAGTTGCTAAAGAAACAAGTAAAGCAATGCTATGTAAATCAAGGCTATAACTACTCTAATTTTTATTAAATTTAAGTTAATCCGAAATAATAATTTTATTGAAAATAATAATTGTTATGAAACTTCAATATTGTACAGTTGTGAAAATAATTTTAACCTCATTGGAGAAATCATAGAAGATTACAAGAGTAAACTTTTATCAAGTTATTGGACGGAAATTAATTTAATTGGATGTAAAATTGAATTGTTAGAAAAACAAAAAGTTGAATATTCGAAGGAATTAAGAAGCAAAATTATTGACATTGGCAGAGAAATGAGTAAATAAATTTTTAACTTCGTCTAGCTTTTCATTCGTAAAAATTTTTCCTTGATAATTATAGCAGGATTAATTGAAATAAATAGACGAAAGTGTTTCAATTGTAGTGTTACACAAAAAAAACAATGGTATATTTTAATAAAAGAACATTATTTGTGCAAAGAATGTAGCGCATATAAACACATATATGGAAAGTTTAGATCAAAGAAATTATGGTTTAAGACAAAAAAGGTTGCCTTTATCAATATTTGGGACGATTTTTAAAAATTCTTATCAGAATTCTTTAAATTAATCTTTTACACAATTCTGAACTTACAGAAAGTTGTTTTTTCGAATGTCAAGGACTGATGGACAATCAAATCCACCTCAATTACAAATCCACCTCAATTCGCCGATATATTTTCATGCCATAGATGGACCGTAAGTGTCAGTCCTCATGTACGGGTCCGCTAAGTCGGCTAACCAAAGTTGCTAGTCCTGTTATTTGAAAAGTTATTAAAAATATTAAAATTCTCTTAAATTTTTTTAAAGATAAAACAAAAAAAGCTTTAACTTTCTAAATTTCAGATGATAAAATTTAAATTTATAATTATCATATATTTAATTATATTAATGAAAATTCGATCCGACGGGAAACTTATTCATGTTGAAATGAAAATTAGAGATGATTGGGAAGGAAAAAGAGAATTTGTTTATTTAAAAAATGTTGAAATAAAGGATGTTTTTGTGTTGAAAGTAATTGAAAAGAATAATAATCAGCATGATAGCTATAAGAACAATATAGAAGGATATTTGCGTTCAGTTAAATTAAATCTAGATAAAAATACATTTGAAGTTGAAATAAGTGATAGATCAGAATATATTCCAGCAGATCAATTAAAAAAGAAAATTTTGATTGAAATTACTAATAATGAGTTAATTCAAAATTTTCTGCCTGGGCTTGGAAAAATGGTATTTTTTATTAATAGAATTTTAGTTCATAGTGTCAGAGTTGCTAAAGAAACAAGTAAAGCAATGCTATGTAAATCAAGGCTATAACTACTCTAATTTTTATTAAATTTAAGTTAATCCGAAATAATAATTTTATTGAAAATAATAATTGTTATGAAACTTCAATATTGTACAGTTGTGAAAATAATTTTAACCTCATTGGAGAAATCATAGAAGATTACAAGAGTAAACTTTTATCAAGTTATTGGACGGAAATTAATTTAATTGGATGTAAAATTGAATTGTTAGAAAAACAAAAAGTTGAATATTCGAAGGAATTAAGAAGCAAAATTATTGACATTGGCAGAGAAATGAGTAAATAAATTTTTAACTTCGTCTAGCTTTTCATTCGTAAAAATTTTTCCTTGATAATTATAGCAGGATTAATTGAAATAAATAGACGAAAGTGTTTCAATTGTAGTGTTACACAAAAAAAACAATGGTATATTTTAATAAAAGAACATTATTTGTGCAAAGAATGTAGCGCATATAAACACATATATGGAAAGTTTAGATCAAAGAAATTATGGTTTAAGACAAAAAAGGTTGCCTTTATCAATATTTGGGACGATTTTTAAAAATTCTTATCAGAATTCTTTAAATTAATCTTTTACACAATTCTGAACTTACAGAAAGTTGTTTTTTCGAATGTCAAGGACTGATGGATATTTAAGCAAAATGCTTTTTATTTAACATAACTTACCATGCTTTATTTACTAACGTTAAATAACTTACCATTAATTAATTTAAAACCGTTCGTAAATGATTTACTTTCCTATAAAACACGGTTTTGCCTAATTGACATTTGACGCACTTTTAAAAATTTTATTTTCTTAAATCTATGAATAAATAATACATAAATCTCCTGATGTAAGAAAACATTTATAAGTTTCAATATTTTTCTATAAATATTTAGATAACCCGAAATTGTTCTATTTGCGATGTTACTCATACATCACATTGGTACCGTTATTCAAAACAAGGACACTATCTATGTGCTGCTTGTTACCATAAACAGCATAAAATAAAGAAATCAATTAAAAATACGATAACAGATAGTTGATTTTGCTTTAAAATTTAGTTTATTTTGATATTATAGATCGAAGTTGAAAGCGGCTACAGTTTGGTTAAGTCAGACTACACCCGACGATGAATGGATAAAAATGATTATAAAACAATACATATAAGCATTGTTATCAAATTTCAATTATATATTTTTTAATTTCGACTTTTTTGCTTTCTTTAAAAAATTCCTCTCTTTTTATGTAATTCGGTAAATATAACAATTTCGATCTTCCTTAAATAAATTTTATTAAAACATTATTATTTGGGATGATTTTTCCGTATTCAAAATTGAGGTTGAAGGGAGGTGTAATGGAAAAATTGGAGTTAATCGGAAAATTTAATATTTTTGTATAAATACCCTTAGCAATAATATTAGATGTAAAAGAGCTTTTATTATATATAAAAGAGTTTTTTACTTACGCGTTCTATCTCTAGATAATTAATTTTTCATCATTTTTATATCAAAAAATTCATCTTTGAAATTCATGCTTTAGTTGCATTTTTTGAGTTTTGCGAACTTCGAAAGGGTTAACGCCAAAAGAGTCAACCTCAAATATGTCAGCTTCAAGTTACCGTATTTCCTAAAATAGTACGGCCTGCTAAATTAGTACGGCCCCCTGAAATAGTACGGCCCTTTGGAAGAGGGTTGAAAAATAGTACGGCCCCCTAAATTAGTACGGCCCCCTAGAATAGTACGGCCCCCATTTAAAAAATATAAAAATAGACAAAATTTGATTTTCTAATCATAGTCATTATTCCTCGCAATATTTAATTAATTTATTGAATCTTAATATCTATTGGTATAGAAATAGGAGTGCTTAAGAGGATATCGGGGGATTAATGGGGATTTTATCGGATTTGGAAGGATATTTATGGACTTGGAGTGATTTAAGTATGGATGAATTTATAAGGATTAGTTGGAATCAAGGTGAATAACGAATAGGTAGTTTATAGGGTTCCGTGACTTTTGCGCCGAGAACATTTGCGCTATCATTAAAAATATATGAATAACTACAGTCGGACCTCTCTATAGTAGGGTTGTCGGATAGATGAATCAGGCCCAGGCCTAATTCATCATTTATAGTCCAGACCTAATTCATCAGCTACCGAACCTCTATTGTACTTACTGAACTTCCTTCATTCCTGGATACCATTTTTACCCCAAGGGTTACACTATAGTGAGGCTAAGATAAGATAAACTGGTAATGTAAAGAATATTTTATATTATACGTTGAAGAATATGAAATATTTAAGAGAGATATGAGGATATGAAAGGTTCTTGAGAGGTTCCCCATCGATATCAGAGGTTCCCCATCGTTCTTGATTATGGACAGCACCATAATTTTTCTACTCTCTTAATACATCGAAATTAAAAAACTTTAAGCTTGATACAGATGTCATTATAGACGGGTCTTAAATAATTTTTAAGGTCTGCTAATTTTATGTTTGGAACAAGCTTTTGATTTGGGATAATTTCCGAGCATACTATTGTGGATACTATAAAAAATTTAAGCAAAAAATGATTCAGATAATTTTGAAAAAGGGTTGAAATATAGTGCGGCCCCCTAAATTAGTACGGCCCTTTGAAATAGTACGGCCCTTTGGAAGAGGGTTGAAAAATAGTACGGCCGGCCGTACTATTTTAGGAAATACGGTAACTGATTTTTAGTGAACTAAAATTCTATTTACAGGGTGACATAAAAGAAACTGCACACCTTGTTTTTGGCATAACTTTATTCAAATCAAAGATATTGGGGTGAAATAAAGCTTAAATGATAGAGAACTAAATAAGGAATAGAAATTGTCAAGAATTTTCGAAGTGACTCTCCCTTATTTGGATAAAGAGTAAAAGGCGCGGAGAAAAATATTGAGGAAAAGTTCGCAAGTCAAAAAAATTTTCTTTCAGAGAATAAATTTTTTATGATTTGATCTTGTCAAAATTATTAAAGTGACTTATCTTGGACAAAAAAGACTCCTCTTTCTAATCCACTTGTTACTTATTCCCAAAACCTTTTTTCTTTAATGATATAGTTCGTTATTTGCAAAAGGGTCAAAATCCCCTGATTTTCGTGAATCCTGAGGGTTTTTGTGGATTTACCGGAAATCCTTCAAGATGTTTTACAGCCTTGGATCCGAAGCCACTTTTGGCGTAGAGAAGGGATCTTTCATCAGAACTCTTCTTCTTTTAATAAGATCTTTAAGTTGCAGGGTTGGTGTGCAGCCAATTTAAACGGTTTTAACGCATCTCAAATAATGACACCGTACTCATCGTATTTGAATCCGTTGGATTGAATTTTTATTCTGGTTTGAAGGCAAGGGTTGTTCATAATAAAACAGAAGTTTTGAGTCGCCTAGACAACATCTCGCCCAGGAATGGGAGAAAATCCCAACCATGTAGGTGCGAACTTTTGCCCAAAATTTTTCCAAGCGCCTTGAACTCTTTATCCGAGCACAGGGTGGGTATTTCGAAATTTATCCGGAACCGAACCGAAGAACCGAACCGAAAATTTCGGAAATCCGAAACCGAACCGAAAATTTTCGGTATCCGGGACCGAACCGATAATTTTTTCGAGGTTAAGGTGTTATTAATTATTAGTGGTGGGTATAAGAGAATTTGTTGGATATAAGAGGTTTGATATCGGGGGATAAAAGGGGCTCTGAATTGATCAAGGGGGCTTAAACTGATATCAGACGAGACAACCTTTTGATCAGTCGAGAGCACAATGCCCCCCTGGAGGATGATTGAAAAATACAATGCCCCCTCCATTAGAATACACTCCTCTAATAGAATGCCACCCTGTAGGATGATTAAAAAATACAATGCCCCCTTCACTAGAATGCCCCCTCTAATAGAAAGCCCCTATAGAAGGTGATTGAAAAACTCCTTTATTTCCTACATATTTTATTTCCTACCTCCTTTATTTCCTACCTATTTTCTCAAAGTCCACCTTAATCTATGCAATGCTCAAATAACAACATACTTCGCCGCCGACGAAAATTTTGAGAATTTTGTAAGACCAGAGGACAGATTTCTTCCTTTTTTAGCGCCGCAGGCGAAATTAAGAATTTTTGAAGACCAGAAGACAGATTTCTTCATTTTTCGGCGCCGCAGGCGAAATTTTTGAGAATTTTGTAAGACCTTCATAAATTAAATAAAATTATGAAAATAAATCTAATTATTTAATATTTATCTTTGTAAATTTAAAGAAATTTCTTTTTCTGTAAAATTATATAGGTTATATATTACTAGGGATGGGATTTATATGGATTTCCATATTTTTTTCCTGAACTCGTTGCATTCTGAAACGTCCAAAAAACACGTTTTTAGCATATGGTGATAAGGCCGTTTTTGAGTTATCAATCCATATTTTCCATATTTTTTCATATTTAGGCGTTCCATCCATATTTTCCATATTTTATCCATATTTTGACATTTTTTGTAAAATTTTGCCAAAAATTGGTCAAAATTTTCAAATTTATGAAATTTTTGGTCAAAAATTTTTACAAAAATATTTTTTGAAAAAATTTTTTCGAATTTTTGAAAATTTTATTATAAAAATTTTGACAAAAATTTTTCAAAAAATTTTCGACTCAAATATTATCCAAAGTATTTTTAGAAACAAAATAATTACTATTAATTGGTTTATTTGTAATAATTTACATCAAAATTAACTTATTTAACATTTTCTGCTTAAAAATTTTCAGTTTTCAGCCCATATTTGATCCATA